CGTGTCCGTGTACCACGGCGCGCGCGGCCGCCGCCGCCGCCGCTGACACCCGGCGCCGGCCGTTCCTTAGCCCGATTTGCAAGTTTTTTTAGGGTTTTTTTTTCCCTGAAAAGTTTCATTTTTTTTTTCTCTCCCCTTCCCCCCTCTTTTTCCCCCCTTTTTTCTCCTTTTTAATCCCATTTTCCCCTTTTGTTTTTCCCCTTTTCTTTTTTCCTTTTCCCCTTTTTTCCTTTTTTCTTTTTCCCTTTCCTTTTTCCTTTTTTTATCTTTTTCCTTCTTTCTTTCTTTTTTCCCTTTTTCTTTTTTTGCTTTTCCTTTTTCCTTTTTTTTTTCTTTTTCCTTTTTTCCCCTTTCCCCTTTTTTGCCTTTTTTTTGCAAGGCATTTTTTTCATTTTTTTGCAACGACACTTTTTACTCCAACCCCTCCTTTTTCATCTTCCCCGCAATGAGCCTTTTTTATTGCATCCCCCCCTTTTTCACCTTACCCAAAATGATTTTTATTCCTCCTTTTATTCCCCCTTCTTTATTATATTGCCCTTTTACCGTATTCCTCCCTTCATCTTTTTTTATTTTATCCCTCTTTCTTTAGTCTTTTTTACTACTCCCTTTTTCACCCCCCTCCTTCTTTATTCCCACCTTTTTATTTTATCCCCCCCTTCCCTATTTTATCCCCTTTTTTAATTTTACCCAAAAGGGCATTTTTCACCCTACCCCACCCCGATCTCCGAAGCAGCGTTTTCATTTCCTTTTGCCCTCCTCCCAGTATCTTCAATGGATTTTTCTTTTTAAATCCCCCCCGACTATTTGCAATGGGGATTTTTAAAAACTTCCCACCCCAACTGTCCAAAACTGTTTTCTCCCTAGCTCAGTTTTTCACATGGATTTTTCCTTTTTAACCTTTCCTTCAGTGTTTGCAATGGGGATTTTTAATCCCACCGCTATGGCACTGCGGGGGTTTCTGTTCCCCTCCCGCCATCGGCGATTTTACTTTTTCTTTCCTTTTTCTGCCCCTCGCCCGGGGCGGTCCCGTGAAGTGACCGGGCGGTGGCAGCGCTGAGCGACGCGGCGACCTCAAGTGACACCGGCCGGCGCCGCCGCTTCCCTGCCCGGAGCCTCATCCCGCTTCCCGGCCACCGCTCCAGGGAATCCCGGCGCCGCCTGCTCGTGGATGGAGGCAGGAGAAGACGCAGGGAGCGGATGTCACCACCGGCATCCCTGGGGACACGCGCACGGGCTCGTCCTCATCGTCACCGTCACGCGTGCGCTCCGGCCACGATGCGGCTCCGCGAGGCCGTCCGGGCCTTCTCCCATGGGAAAAGCTGCTCCGGAAAGACAGATCCAAGAGCCCGGAGAGGGGGGCTTGTTTCACGTTTGCTTCAGAAATTAGTTCAGAAATGTTGGTTTTGGGGGTTGAAAAGTGTTTGGTTTTGCCACTATGGACCACCTCGCTCACCGAGCCGGGCAGATCCGATGCCTCCGGATCCGCCAAATGATCCTGGCAGAGCCAAGGATTCGAGAACAGGCTGGTGCTGGCCAATTTGGGCCGTTTCAGGGTGGTTCTGGCCATTTTGGGCTGTTTTTGGGGTGCCTAAATAGCTCTTAAAGCTATTGAACCGCAGGCGAGCGGTTGTCTTTTCCGTTGGGAAAAGCGCGCGTCTCCGAGACATTTATTTTAATGGAAAACTGTGTTCTACGTTAGACACACGAGGTTCTTTATTTGCCAGTTTTGTGGTTATCCCGTTGTTACTTCGTTTGCCCGTTTTGGGGGTTATCCTGTTATTTGCCCATTTTGGGGGTTATCTGTTACTTTATTTGCCCGTTTTGGGGGTTATCCGTTACTTTATTTGCCCGTTTTGGGGTGATTCCGTTGGCACGCCGGTTTGCCGTCGCGTTAATAAACGGTTGTCGCGAATCCTACGTGTCCTTCCATTTCCTCCCGGGACTGGGGGTGACGGGTGCCCCCCTGGGTGCCGGAAACTTCCCCGATCTTCTGCTTTTCCGGTATTTCAGCCTCTTCAGGGATTCCAGATCCCGGTGCGCGCTCATTATCAGGCGGCTACAAGCACAAAAACGTTGGATTTTTGCATTAATACTGGCACAAAGCACAAATATATATTTATTTAAAAGGTTTTGCCACACTGGGCTGGGGGCTTGGGGGCTCCTAGGGCATTTTCCTTCCCTTGGGAGCTAAAATAAAAGCCAAGGAAGTCAGGATTGGGAAGAAGGAACTTTTCTTCAAACTGTTTACAAAGAAATTGCATTAAGTAGGTGCAAACAGGTAAAACCGGGCAAATAAAGAGCTGCTTGGGGGGAAATAAAGAGCTGCTTTAGTGCTTGGCACAGACCAGGCCGAGGAGGAGACCTGACATTAACGCCCCGTTCCAAAGATTTTTTGTTTTTTAAATTTGGTGGCTTCTTTAACCCCCCCCATTTTGGCCAAATTGCTAAGCAGAGAGCTGGAAATCCTCCCCCCTTGTCTTTTGAGGGTAAAATAACCCTAAAAGGTGGGTGTTTTCTGCTGGGTTTTGCAAAAAAAACCAGCTGCATTTCAGCAAAAGCTCCTTAAAAACAGGTTAAATAGGAGCAACAAGGGGAGGAATTTGTGGCTTCCTTCTGGTGGCTAAAGGGTGTTAAAGCTGCGATTTATTTTCCTCTCTTTGTCTCCTCCCTGGAGAATATAAGAAGTTTTTGCTTTGGGTGGGAATGTGCTGCCCACGCAAGGCCCAGCAACAAGGTAAGAGGTGAAAAATGCCCCTATTTGCCGTTACTTAGGGTTAAAAGGAGGGCTAAAATGATAGAAAATCATGATTTTGAAAGGCTGCGGTTTAAGGGTGCTTCCCCTGCTCCCCACGGGGTCCGGGCTCCTACTTGAGCTTGGAGAGCTCCGCGATGAGGCCGCACACGACGTCCGTGGCGTCTTCCTGCTGGGAAGGGCCGGGAAGCGCCTCCGATGCCTCCAGACTAAGGGGAAAAAGAGGAAGAATTCCCACATTTCCAACCCGGCCGCTTTTCCTTCAAATAATGGGTTTCCCAGCCCGTGTCCGGGTGGGAAATCTGCCCACCTGGGTTGCTGCTGGCCCGGGCCGCTGATGTCGGTGACCGGCTCGGGCTTTTCCAGGGTTTTTTGTCCTTCCTCGGAGCCCAGCTCGCTGTGGACCGTGGAAGAGTCGCTTTTAGCATCAGTGGAAACTGGCTGCAAATGGAAAAGCGTTTGGAATGAATAGGAATCAACAGGAAAATGGGACTGCGCGTTGCGTGCCAGCCAAGAAGAACGTGTTCTTCCAGGGAGGAGCCGCTCCGCACCCAACTCGCTCCCATTAAAAGCAGATCCAGGCGCGGCGCCGGGGGGCATTTCCAGGGAAACTGGTGGTGCCAAAGGCTTGGATGCGGGCGGGTTGGGAATCCCAATGCGGATCGTTCTGGAATAAGGGGCTGGAGGGGTGCAGGAGGCCCCAGCATGGAATGGTTTTAAGTTGGGCAGCCCGAAATGGCCGCTCCGAGGGGGAATTACCTGCGGTGAAGGGATGTGGGCCGACGGCTCCGATGCCCCCGGCGAGCGGGATTCCTCCTCGGGCTCCATGGCTTCTCCGTTGGGCAAATCCCGCTGTGCCGCAGGAAGGAGATTCCTGCCGTCGGGAGCAGGTTTCTCGGCACAACCGGCTGCTGCTTCTCTTGGAGAGGTGCTTCCCATGGGAATGGGCTCCACGGCTTCTCCGGCGAGCGCTGCCTCTTTGGAATTTGCTCCGCAATTCTGGAGGCCGCGTGGGCAGGGAGTAGCCTTCCCTCCTGCCTCCAGGATCTGCATCTTTCCCTGTGGGACCTCCAGATCCGGCAGCTCCTCTCCAAGACCGGGCTCGGCGTTTTCCTTCCCTTCCTCTGGAAGTTCTTGTTTCCTTTTCCGTGCGGAAGCTCCATGGATGGAGACGGGTGAATCGGGCACCGAGCTGCTCCCTGGAGAGGCTTTTCCTTCTTTTTCTGCCTCCTTTCCATCCGTCTCTCCCTTGGGAGCAGGTGGCTGCAGGGATGCGCTGCGGCCCTGGCTCACGCTCCCACCTTCCCAGCAAACTGGACTGGCTGGATCGGGAGCTTCCCCGTTTTCCTGTATGGAAAGAGCTTCCACATTCAGCCCCGTGGTCCCAGCCAGGCCGCAGGCGCCTGGATCCGCTCCGGAGGCGCTGCCGGCGCCGCTCCGCCCTTCCCCCGCCTCCGGAGCCAGGCAATCCTCGGCTGCGGCGGCGTTTTCCAATGATCCCGCTTGGTTTTCCACCGCTCCATCTTTAGCTCCCGTTTCGGCCTCGCTCGGCTCTTTCCCGCTGGCATCTCCGGCGCTTCCCTCCTCAATCCGGCTGTGCGGAGCAGCGACGGCTCCGTTCTGCTCCGTGTCCGCGCCGGACGCGCGCGGCGGCTCCTTGTCACCATCTTCACCTGTCTCATTCCCATTTATTTCCACTGCGCAGAGATGCTCCGAAATCTCCATGGAGAGGCTCCTGTCCTGGCAACTCTTATCCGGAATATCCGGAAATACCGAAGGGGCTTCGGTCAACGAGGTTTTCTCACCGGTTTCGCCTTGGGAGCGGAATTCCAGCTCCTCTCCTTGCTGTTCCCGCTGAGCTGACTCCCCCTCAGGATTGCAGCTGCTCTTCTCCATTCGGGAGCAATTCTGTGGGTTATCCGGCTCCGGAGCGCTCTGGAGTTGCCCCTGGTGTTCTGGAATTGCCCCATCCTCTTCTGTTTGGCCCTCAATTAAATTTGGCTGCTCGGGTGCCTCTGCCTGAGGCCTCTCGTCCCGCGTCGTTGCCTCTGATGACTTCCATTCGGGGCTGGAATCCGTGTTTTGGGAATTACAGCCTGTTCCTTCCTGGAATGACAAGAAGCCCGCGTTGCGAGGGCATTGGAAAACAGCTAATTCCGGTTTTGTGTGTATTTTTGAATATGTATTTTTATAAAATTCAATTTTGTATAAACACCTAAGCAAAGTAGCAGCTTTAAATTGTATAATTTATTAAAAAAGAAGGCTGTGTGGAAGAAGATGGCCGCCTTGGATGCACCGTGTTACCTGCTCCCTTTGCCTCCTTGGCAGGCGGTTTCGCTTGCGCCTCTCTGCCGGATTCTCCTTCGGCTTCGTGAAGACCGGCACGAACTTCCCTGCCGAGTTCTGCAGCAAGAGCACGAAGGGCTGTGACACTCACGCCACCCCCACCCGGCTTTGGGGCCAAACCTGCTTTTTTTGGGTGCGATTTCTCCCCGCGCGCTCGTTCCAGAAGCCCTGGCCCGGGGTGGAAATCCAAGGGCAGCATCCAAGCAGCCCAAGGGAATTCGTCCCCAGAGGGAAAACAGGGACTGAAAGGAAAAATTGACACTTGTAGTGGGGTGGATTTACCTGGGATAAAGCAACTGTGGTGAGTTGCTTGGCCTGGCTTCGCTCTGGAGCCGTCGTCTTTCCTCCGTTGTGTGAACTGGGAAGGAGAATGGAGTTATGTGCGGTCTCAGCTTGCATGGACATGTCATTTTGGGCTATTCTGTCACCACCGCGCTTGGGGACGCGTCCCTGTTTCACAGGACACTGGTGCTGTGGGTTTTATCACCCCACGTTGTGCTGATTTCCCAGTTACCTGCCTGGCGAGTCCGCTTCCCGGCTTTCCCGCTCCTCTTCTTCCTGGTGCTCCGGTGTGTCAGCATTTGGCTTTGGCTTCCCTTGGGAATCGGGGCTTTGAGCCTGTCCCGAGCCGTCTGTCACCTCAGGATCCTCATGGAAACTTCTTTTCATTTTGGGAACGCGGCGCTCGCCGTCTTCTCCTATTAAGGGAAAAAAACGTTGAGAAACAGTGCCAGGAGTGGAAGAAGAAGGCAACGTTGTAGAGCTGTCTGGTCTGCAATGTGATAAAACCCAACAAAACCCCCCCTGTAAAGCACCAAATATTGCCCTTCTTGGCAACAGGCTGCCCACGCCTGTCTGGCATTAATTCCTCTTCCTAAATCCTAAGAAAACCCATGAATTGAGGAAGCTGTTGAAATCCGTTCGGGACACGAGGCTGGTCATGAGCTCCTGGTCAAGTCTGGCTCCTGATCAGGTGGCTTCGGTAAAGAAAACCCATGGTAGATGGGGGAGATTTTATCTTTGTTGGCAATAATCACCCCCAAATTGCCCATTCTGCTGTGGCTGCTCTGAGGGTGTTTTGGGGGGAGGAAAAGAAATTAAAACCAAAATGGGAAATCCTGGCTTTTGTTTGCTGGGAGCTTTGTTGCAAGTGTTACAAGCTAATTACAGTGGTCAAACTCCAGCACTCCTTTCTAGGATAAAGCAGTGTTTTATTAATCAAAACCGGTGCTAAACGGGGTGTAACGTGTCACCCCCACTCCTCCGCCTCCCCAAGTACCACAAATTGCTTGTCACTGTAATTTGGCAAAATTTGGGTGGATTAGTGGAGCGCTGCTCCGGGGAGGAAGCTGTGCCTCCAGCGGTTGTGTAGGCAGCCCTAAAAATCACCATTCAAGAGCAAAAGCAGCGATTTCTGGTCTTTTATTTTGCACCGAGCTGTCTGCTCGCACGCTGTTGCCGTACCTAAACGGGGTTTGCAAAGTTGGCGTGATATTTGGGGAATGCTTGGCCACGTTTGGGTAAAAGCTGGTGTACAGAGGTGCTTTGGTACCAACTACCAGTAAAATCGTGGGAAAACAGAGCGTTTTGGGGGGAATTCTGGGTGTGGAAAAGGTAACACTTCAGAGGTGACTTTAGGTGGCAGTTGCTCGTGCTGAGAACTGTTCGCTTGTACACAGTAACTAAGCTTAATACCACGTTTAACAAGTGAGACTGGGAATAACTCAGCAAGGCTCCAGGGTGGCTGCACAGCCGCTGTGCAAGGGGGTGTTGGTGTCCCTTGATCTCCAGTTGTCACCGGGACTTGTTTATG